TGAAAAAGTAAGGCTTAGTGTTAAATATGTTACATGTTCACCGAAGATGGAAGAGAATTTTTATCATGTTGCAAAGCAAGTGAATGTGGTTGGAGAAAAATGCTTAGCACTTGATTGTTGCACAAGATGGAATTCTACTTATTTAATGTTGATGAATGCTTTAAAGTACAAAGTTGCCTTTAATAGATTTGAACTTAGCGACGACAAATACATTCATTGTCCATCGGAGGAAGAATGGAATTATATTGATACTTTGAGTAAATGTTTGAAACACTTTTATGATGCAACTATTCTCCTTTCCGGTAGTATGTATCCTACTTGCATTCTTTTATTTGAAGAATTTTGTGAAATTCAATTGCTTCTAATGGAATGGTTGAAAAGTAATGATGATACAATTGTGGCAATGGCTTTTGCAATGAAAAGAAAATTTGATAAATATTGGAGCATGTGCAATAAGATTTTTGCGGTGGCTACTTTTCTTGATCCGATGTACAAAATGATTGCAATAAAATATTACTTTAAGGAGATTTATGGCATGGATGGTGAAAGGTGTACACTTGAAATTTTAGATGTCATCAAAAAGTTACATAGAGAGTATGCATCTCTTGATGAAAAGCAATCCAAAAATGATGAAAATGTTTCAAGCTCACAAGCAAAGGAAGTAGAAAGAGTTGGTGACAAAAGAAAATCTATATTTGCACAATTTGTTGAAACTATTGAGAAAGAGCCTACAAAGACGGATTTGGATTTATATATGGAAGAGAGTATTGTCCGATGCGAAGATGAAACAACGAGGAAATTTGATATATTAGATTGGTGGAAATCAAGTCTTGGAAGGTATCCTATACTAGCAAAAGTTGCAAGAGATGTTTTGGGTATACCGGCTTCAACCGTGGCTTCCGAGTCAGCTTTTAGCATTCGGGGGCGTGCAATTCATTGTTATAGAAGTCGAATAACAACAGATACGGTAGAGGCGTTGATATGTACACAAGATTGGATTAAAGCAGAGAAAGGAGGTAAATTTATAAATTTTGCATAGATTATGTTATATTTGGTTAATCGTACATTAAATGATTGTATGTTTTATTCTAATAAATTTTTTGTAGTTACAAAAGTGCAAATTATGAATGATGATGCTCTTGATGTGGTTAAGCTTTCGGATCACAACGACTCGGAGATTGCCGAAACATTTATAAAAGCACCCATAGGTTTGTTATTTAACTTCATAAGCATATGATTTGAAATTTATAAATTTTCACATATTTAACATGACAATTGCTCTTTTCATTTTTTCAAGGTGACATCGTGGAGGTCCTTGACTCGGATGATGAGATTTAATATTTCTCTTGCATTGATGGGTCTCATCTTTTGGTTTATATTTTCTTCTCAAGAATATGATTGTCTTAGTTTGCATGCTTTTTTGCTTAGGGAACTATATTATAGAACTTGTGGGTTTTTAATATATTGTATGTGACTTTGCTCATGTTAAGTCTGTACGTGACTTTATTTCCGGATTTGTGGCTTGTTATTTATGGATTTGTGACTTGTTGTTTCTGGATTTGTGACTATTATTTTTCGAATTATGACTTTATTGCGTGTTTTTTGTCAAGAACATTGTGATTTCATTTTATTTTCCTATCCGACAATGGATTCACATATCAATGAAGTTTAATGTTCTGGAGATGTATCTTGATTTCTCGGGTGGAGATTCCTTTCTCCAAAACTCCCGATTTATTATTCTTCCAGCTTTGATCAACTCTGGATCTCTTCGAGTTTTGAAGCTGGCAAAATGTAATATACCCGATGCAGATTCTATGGCTCTTGGGAATGATGATGCTCTTGATGTGGTTAAGCTTTCGGATCACAACGACTCGGAGATTGCCGAAACATTTATAAAAGCACCCATAGGTTTGTTATTTAACTTCATAAGCATATGATTATCACATTTTAGTTATGGTATTCAATATTTTTTATTTTTTGTTTAGGGCCTTCTATGGTGTTCTGAAGTTTGTCATACAAAATAACAACAAAGTCTATGAGGTAACTTGTCTTACTTGTTTACTTTGCGAGTTATTAAAATCATATATATTTTTTGTCATATCCTAGTCATATCTATTTCCCAAATATCCGTTTAGTATCCGTATCCGAACCGTATCCGTCTCTCTAATATCCGAACCATATCCGTTTCCGTTTAATGCAGATATGGTAATGTTTTTTTCTTACCGATGAATATCCGAACCGTATCCGTATCCGTTTTTAGAAAGTGGTTATGGTTATGGTAATGGTCATATCCGAGCCGTATCCGAACCGAATGCACCCCTAACACATATTTTTTTAGGAATGGAAATATAGACAAATTGTAGCTCAGGGTTCCACACAAAAGAGGGGGGGAAAAGACTATATAACATAATTAATTGTAAAAGAAACAAATAAAATAATATTTGTTTTTTGTTATAGAAGAAGGAATAAAGGATATTAGAATTAGAGGTTGAGGAATAATTGAAGAGTTCATAACACACATGCGCCGACATCGCCATTTAATGCCACGGATCCTAAGACCTATCCTATAGTTCATCGACTGCTGGCGATGTGGTTGGTTCCCAACGTTCCACGTGGCTCTGGGACCACCTACAGTGTGGCATTTCTGTTATTAAAGGGCACTACGACGGTATTCTGTCGCTGCGTGCACCACCGTCGTGTGTTCCTCTCCTGTGTGTGATTTAGATAGGGTACGTGTTGATTTCTTTCTTTCTTTCCTGTTTAATACAATTATCATTCTTTAAAGTTTATGAGAGGAAGAAAATATCATGGCATTAAATTTGAATGGAACCAAGATACTACCATACAAACAAACAAAAACTTCTTTACACTTTCACCAAATGTCTCTTTTGGGACCATTTTATCTTTGTTTGTTTGTTGTGCTCAAGCTAAGCTTACCTAAGTTCTTACTTACTTAATTTATGTATATAACATGAGTGGCTTCAATTTTGTTTATCAAATTCAAGAAAACAAAGTCAAAGTAAGCAGAGACACTCTTAAAAAAAAAATCATTTCTGCATTAGCTAGTGGTATATAAATAAATTAATTACTAAAATATTAGTTAAAGTAAAAAGTAGGAGGTCGTCTGTAACCATAAGAAGTACTAATACTAGCTTAAATCCTACAACAAGCCTAATTTACTAATTAATTATCTACGCATTCCCGAGATTTTTGTGCTAAACTCGAAGCAAACAAAAAAGAAAAAAAAAAAGGCTTGGAGTTTAGTGGGCGTTTTGGTCTGTTTGTAGGAATTTGGGAGATGCGAAGATTCTCTCTCTTCTTCGTATTGGACTTTGTAGTTCGCCACTCTACTCTATAAAAAAGGCTTGCAAAAAATATTGTAAATGGTTAATTAGTCAAGCGAGTTCTTTATATAAAAAAATTCTCTCTGTCACCTTTTACTTTTGTTCTTTGGGTGTGTGGATATGATGATAAGATAGTATTCTACTTCTTGAGTATTTTTCAAAAATTTGAAAGTATAGCTCGCTCTCTCTCGCTCTCTCTCTCTCTCTCTCTCTCTCTTTGTATAGTCTCTTTTTCTTAGTTTTTGAATTCAAAAGAGGAGGGCAAGGCTGAACTGGGGTTGAGGGGTTGGTGGAGGTTAAAGGGACCCACAGGGAAATACTAGCAAGAATCACGAAGAAAGTAATCATCATCTCCCTAAATAGTCAGCATTAAGCCTGCCACTGTTTCCACTATAAAAAACTAGTGGAGTAAAAAAAAACTAAAAATAGAAACAGATCAGAGAGAAAGCATGCACGGTTGTGTTCTTGTTTAAACTGGGTTCTGACGACAACCAACTCAGAAAATGTTGGCACTTATTTTTGTTATATTTACAAGTGTATTGTAGTGATGAATTC